ACTAAAAATACAAAATTAGCCGGACGTGGTGGTGCATGCCTGTAATTCCAGCTACTCGGGGGGCTGAGGCAGGAGAATCGCTTGAACCCGAGGGCTGGAGGTTGCAGCGAGACGAGATCGCACCATTACACTCCAGCCTGGGAAACAAGTATGAAACTGTGTCTCAAAAAAAAAAAAAAGTTCTCTAGGCTTGCCGGGCACAGTGGGTCACGCCTGTAATCCCAGTACTTTGGGAGGCCAAGGTGGGCAGATCACTTGAGGTAAGGAGTTCGAGACGAGCCTGACCAATATGGTGAAACTCTGTCTCTACTGAAAATACAATGATTAGTCGGTCGTGGTGGTGGGCGCCTGTAGTCCCAGATACTCAGGAGGCTGAGACAGGAGAATTGCTTGAACCTGGGAGGTAGAGGTTGTAGTGAGCCAAGCCAAGATTGTGCCACTGCACTCTAGCCTGGGCGACAGAGCGAGACTCCATCTCAAAAAAAAAGAAAAAGAAAAAAAAGAAAAAAGAAAGTTCCCTAGGCTTTAGTTTCCTCAATATAAAATGAATGGAATGGACTGTTGACCTCTGAGCATTCTAATAAGTCTAGAACTGATTATCAATACTTCATTAATGGTATTTGTCATTCTCCCTTAGGTTTTGGGGGATTCTTTTTTTTTTTCTTATCAGTAGAAATAGGGTCTCACTCCATTGGCCAGGCTGGTCTTGAACTCCTGGCCTCAAGCAATCCTCCTGCCTCAGCCTCCTAAAGTGCTGGAATTACAGACCTAATCTCACTCAGATTTTTAAAGAAGCCATTTACAAAGATATAAAATTTGGGGGCCAGATGTGGTGGCTCATGCCTACTTTGGGAGGCCGAAGCGGGTCAATCATCTGAGGTCAAGACTTCGAGACCAGCCTGCCCAACATGGTGAAACCCTGTCTCTACTAAAAATACAAATAAGTATCTGGGTGTGGTGGTGAGCGCCTATAATCCCAGATACTGGGGAGGCTGAGAACAAAAGCAAAACTCCGTCTCAAAAAACAAACAGGTTGGGTGCATCATGCACATATTTAGCATCATGCTAACATTCACATTAGTTCCTCATATGTAGTGTAAATATCTGAGGGAGAAAATATATGAATAAATAAACAGATACTCCTATCCATTTATACCTTCCAAGTCCCACCCAGAATTCTGGTCTCCCGGCCAATTCCACCTGCAACCTCTCCCCACTTCCTCCACACCAAGACTCCCTCTCTCCCTACCAAAGAAAGAAATCTTTCTTAGTATATTAGAATCACATAAATTTCCGACACCAATCTCTAATCTACCATTTACTAGCTCAATAATCTTTGGTAACTTCCTGAACTTTTTAAGCCTCAGTTTTCTTTAAAACTAAAGTAACTAGTACCAGCTGCAGAGCAGAGTGTTGTTATAAGATAAAATGAGATAATGTGCCTGGCACATTAATAATCACTCAATGAATGTCAGCTATTATTATTATTGCCTTAAGACTGTTGTAATATTTATTTACTTACTTATTGATTTATTTTGAGACAGAATCTTGCTCTGTTGCCTACGTTGGAGTGTAGTGGCATGATTTCGGCTCACTGTAACCTCTACTTCCTGGGTTCAAGTGATTTTCCTGCCTCAGCCTCCCGAGTGGCTGGAATTACTGGCAGGCATAACCATGCCCAGCTAATTTTTGTATTTTTAGTAGAGACGGTGTTTCACCATGTTACCCAGGCTGATCTCGAACTCCTTAAGTGATCCGCCCACCTCAGCCTCCCAAAGTGGTGGGATTATAGGTCTGAGCTGCTGTGCCTGGTCCATATTTATTTACATTTACAGTAAAGGAGTACTAAAAAAAACTAATAGGACCAGCGAGGTGGCTCACACCTATAATCGTAGCACTTTGGGAGGCTGAGGAGGGAGGCTCGCTTGAGCCCAGGTGCGCGAGATCAACATAGGGAGATCCTGTCTCTAGAAAAAGTACAAAAATTAGCCAAGCACCTGTAGTCCCAGCTCTTGGAGAGGATGAAAAGCAAGAGGATTCCTTAAACCCAGGTGACTGAGGCTGCAGTGAGCCGTGATTACTCCACTGCACACCAGCCTGGACGACAGAGAATGCGTCTTAAAAAAAAAAAAAAAAGGTTTAATTTATGAACTGACCAGTGAATTTTCTTCTCAAACTTCCATTCTTTTATCTCTTCTGAGAAACTTACTATGTGTTTCACTAATGCAGCACAGTTTAGAGTTTGCTTAACACTTTGTAATTTTGAAAACTCTTAGGCTGGGCATGGTGGCTCAAGCCTGTAATCCCAGCACTTTGGGAAGCCAAGCTGCCAAGGCAGGAGGATTGCTGGGTATCATAGCCAGATCAGCTTAGGCAACATAGCAAGGCCTCGTCTCTAAAAAAAAAAATTTTAATAATTAACTGGGCGTGGATACATGCACCTGTGGTCCTATCTACTCGGGAGGCTGAGGTGGGAGGATAGCTTGGGCCCAGGAGGTTGAAGTAGCAGTGAGCTGTGATGACACCACTGCACTCCAGCCTGAGCAACAGAGTGAAAACCTGTCTCAAAAAAAAAAGAAAAGAAAATTCTTACTTTTGAGAGGCTGAGGCGGGAGTATCACTTGAGCCCAGGAGTTTGAGACCAGCCTGGCAACATAGCAAGACCCCATCTCCAAAAAAAAATCAGCTGGGCATGGTGGCCCTCACCTGTAGTCTCAGCTCTATTCAGGAGACAGAGGTATGAGGATGGTTGGAGCCCAGAAGGTTGAAGTTGCAGTGAGCCATGATCTTGCCACTGCATTCCAGCCT